GGTAGCTACCCTTTCTCTAAAATTGTGACTCTGGTTTTCTCTGTGCTGGTCCCATATCAATGTAAAAATACAGGTTTCTCAAAGGCCCAGTCTGCATTTAGCATTTGCTCAGTTGTTTTACCAAACCCACACTGGAGCAGAAAAAGATGCAGTTCAAAACCACATTCAACTACTCCGGGCCAACACCGTACTGACTGCAGAGTCACCCCCCCAAATGGCCATAAAACGGCCATAAATCTATGCAGACAGCCACCATAAAACCAGAGATCAAACAAAGTGAAAGCAGCATTCAGTCTGGACACTGCCATAAAATGTGACACTCAATCAAAGTGAAAGTGGCATGCAATGTAGACAGGAATTTCTGTTCCAGTGTGGGTTTGGTATAACAGCGGAGCAAATGCTAGATGCAGATAGGGCTAAAAACAGTCCTTTACACAGGAAATCACATCTGAAAGTTTTATGAAAGGATTCACGTCAAGCCTGTTTCTGGCCCAACTCCCCCCCCCCCCCATGATTTTCTCTTATCAGTATCTCCAAAATGATTTCCTTTCCATAGCATCTGAAAAAGTGAGCTCTGAACTGGCCTGCCAGTTTTCCACCAGAAGCAGAGGATCCCTCAAATTCTGTTTTCCACCATGGCATTTCCAGTGTGAGAAAAATATATATATATATATTTTTGGGGGGACACTGTTGTTGGTGACAGCATGATGTTACTTATAGGAAAAACCTGGCAATGATGTCAGTCCACTCTAGGAATCTGTGGTTTTACCATAGAGTTTTGGGCAATTCCTAGAGAAGCGTGACATCATGCCTGAGTTTCTCCCCTGGAAGTGACATCATACCATTGCTGACGGTTCCCTCCATGTCCTCCCCTCCATCTCCTGCTGGCAACCCTGGTGCTGACTCACAATAGCTCATGCTGGAAATTCTGCTTTCTCTATTGCCACTGAAGTTCTGTTTTACTGTCAGCAAGTTTCAGTTCCATAGCCATTGTTTCCATCACACCTTTCTTTCCTGTGTGGAAATGGAGGGTTTTGGGAGAGCTGTGGTGGTACTAAGGATGTCAGATTTGGGTCTGGGGCCTCTTGTCGCTGATTACTGGTATATTATGGTGTAATGCCTGTGGTTTCTGAGGTGCTATGGGTGGATAATGTTGATGGCAAACTCATCTCTGCCACTTTATAGAACTCTTTCTTGTACTGTATTTCTCAGTT